TACATACATACATACATACAGTCCAAGAAGCATCTGCCGGAAAGTTGCAGAAATCCGCTGCCACACCGAGCACATACACCAACATCAGCACACTTGTCACACCCTGGGATCTCGCAGCTTGCACATCGTCCTGTCCCGCCCGCATCCTGCAGGCAAAGCTGCACAGCTACGACAAACCCTTGCCGTGGTTCAGCCAACATCTCAAGTTCATAGCACTGCCACAAGCACATCTCCTGCTGCGCGGCAAAGCCTCTTGGGAGCAGTCTGCCACACATCTCCCTTTCGACGCAAGTGTGCCTCAGCAGCAGAAAAGACCCATCAGGCGTACGAACCTGACCTCACGGAACATGAACGACAGGAACAAGAATCCATGGAAATTCACGCGCAAGGTGCTGCATGCTGCCCGCTCCACACTGAAGAAGCGAAGGGCACTCTTTGGGGCAAACATTTCCTGGAAAGGCGTGACAGAGTCTCAACATCTCTCGACCACTCTCTCTTCACTGGCTTTGGTAGGCAAACACTGAGAGTCCTAGCAGTCCTAGCATTCAGCACATGTATACTCGAGAAGTCGTGTGATCATTATGCTGTCAAGCTAGAACACGGCTGTCCTGTTTCGTTGTCCAAGCGCACACCGCACCTGTCACCGGCCACATAAAAAAGCGCTCTTCCAGAACTCAATGGTCCAGGCTGCATGCCAAAGGCACTCTTGCACGTCCGCCGGCGACTCACTGCTGGGGTATGCCTTGCACAGGCAGGTCCAGGAGTATAAAGGCCAGATCCACCATCTGGCCGCATGCATTCACGCCAGTCTTCTGGAGCCAGAGAGCTCCTTTTAGAGCTCCACCCTTTGGGCTCTCTGAAGACTTGAGCCCAGGCATTGTGCCCTTGCGCATCAAGGTACCGCTCAACCTCGCAGTATGGCAGTATGGTCAAAGCCATTGGTTGGGTACCCAGCAGGAATCGTCAGCGTCTTTGCAGCATCTCTCGAAGGTGAAGCCTCCGCGCCTTGAGCACTCTCGAGGTTTGCTTTAAAAACAGCTCTGCATGCAGAGCCTGTGGCAAGCGTGGCAAGTCCTGCGTTGGTTGTCTTGCATGCGCCTCCCTTCCCACATCCAACTCCAAGCATACAAGCACTCTGTTTCCGCTGAGCATAACCGGAGTTTCTGTTCCGACTCAGCAAATCCTTCCGTTCTTCGAGGTATGTACCTTGTGGGCAAAACACTCAACTGGAATCTCACTCTAATGCTTCTTTGCCTTCTCTTGTAGGCAGGCCGCACAAGTCCCCGAGGCTGCCATCTCCCAGCAAGACTTCCAACGGAACCTCATCGCGTCCAAGCAGCCTGGGCCATCTTCAGAATATGTCAATGTGTCGGTTGGCAAATCGCATGAATCTGAACTGAGCTGCACATCTTGACTCAGCCTCCCAGCATCAAAGCCCGAGATCTTGCGCAGCATGCATGTGACTTGCACACCCTGCCTTTCTGCAAGCGTAGTTGCTGTCAGCGAGTCCACCTGAGCAAGTATGGTCTTGCTGGAGCTCCGCATTGTGCATGGTATGCTCGTGCTGGCGAGATGGAACTTGTGTCCAACTGCTGCAATGCACGTTTTCTTGGCACCATGGCTGTGCTCCAAAAAGGTCTGCATTCAGTCTCCATGCTGCTCGACACGTCCGTTCAGGAAGGGCGCTACAGCGAGTTGCTTGCCAAGTTGCTCCTAGCTCAGCCAGAGATATTGCCGAATCCAAGTTCGCGCCGACCGGGGCGCCCTGCAGCACCACAGAATGCAGCTGGGTTGGTATCCAAAAATGAAACCTCTAAGACTCCGGCAAGGGCGGCTAACAGCAAGTCCCTGACGCTTGCAGCTACGCCACCTGCAACAAAGCTGCAGATTTAAATTCTATCAGCATCCGTGCCTCCCACCTCGATCCGGCCGACATGGCCGAACCCTGCTGTGCTTCTCAAGTTCCTGCAGCAGTGCTCCACGGTCGATTTTCTCGGATGCGGTCAGCGGCATCGCCTGCATTGATCAACAGTCGACAGGCCGGACTCTGTCTGAAGCCACGAGAAAATCTGCGGAAGCGCGAGGCCTGAGGGGTTTAGATCTAAGACCATCCAGAAGTGAATAGCCCACCCAAACTACACGCAGATTGCTTTCCCCCACAACAGGAGCAGCGATTTTCCACCCCCCCCTCCCCTTCTTCCACCTCCCCCGCTCCCCCCGCAGACACAAACTCCAACTTCAACAAGTTAGTATTGTGCCTGCCCCTCCAATCGGAAAGCACTCCTCCTCCAACGCACGAAACTAGTCAAAGAATCCAGCAAAGTCAGCACTATCCTGTCTGGAAGCCCTACTTGCTCTTCATGCCTTCAGC